CTTCTCGGACCATTCGTCGTTTGGGTGCATTCATCGGTAGATTAGCTGGCTGCTGATCGGCTTGGCAACTACTAACTTGAATGCGGTTCTCCAGCGCTCGAAGAAACGTCATCAATGCGCACTGTGCCTTTCGTGTAGATCCAGTTACCAGTGAAAGGAACAAGGCCTTTGCTGAGGAGTTGTTCATTAGGAAATGCCAACTGAACAGTTACAGACTATTGGACAGGAAAGCAAAATTCTCATATGCATCTTGTTCATAAAAACCATGTATCCTCTTCTTCTCGAACAGGTCTTATTGAAAGTTCCTGGATACCCATTGACTATCACTCAAACGTAAACGAATAGTACAAAGCGATTCCACAAATTCCGTAATAAATCACACTTTTCAATAGACGCGAAGCGGGTTTATGAGAAAAACATACTACTCACAGGCTTCATCAGTAGTATCCACCATTCTACAAAAGGTCTAATAATGCCATGCACTCCCGCTGCTCACAGTGGCTTTGCAGGGTTTCGCAAGCACCGCTCACACGGTGGTCAAAACCTCCTCTATAAATCTGTTCTTTACAAATTGTTTAGTTATTCTCCTTTCTTTTACCTGTAACTGAGGGTTTTCTCTTCAGTTCCACTCTGCTCTGAAACAAATCATGTGCGGCAAATTGTTTCCACTGGCAGTCAGTTTCACCACACAGAGTAGTATTTTGGAAATTCCAGGAGGGGACAATTTGTCATGAAGGTACGAATTTGAAATGAATATTTGTTGACCAGGGCAAAATTGTTCACCTGGATCCACTTATCGATTAGTTGGAAGGGGTGAGGAGAGTCGAATTGGACAGAACACGATCGGGAGGTACACAAGGCTCCTATTCATGGCGATACTACTGATATGTCTGAAAGCTCACCGTCACTTTTGGCCATTTGAGACTCATTAGCTAGGCGTCGCCCATAAACTTTTTCCCCAAGCTGGAAGCTCTTAGAGTAGAACATTTGTTGTGCTAACGTGAAGCGGAAACGAGACTACAATATATCGCTGCCTGTGACACCCATCAACCGAATGTGCCGCGCAAAGACCACGTGTGATCAAAAGGAAAGAACTTATTTGTGTCTGATGTGAAAGATGCCAGTGACACTCACTTGAGTTCTTTATGTTGAAGACAACTGAGGAGAGAATTAAGACTGATGTGAGACGCCTCAAAGAGGGATATCTTGATACCTCAGAAGTTGACCCTACTGGAGGGTGCAGTATCAACGAAAGTAAGCTGAACGTGAGAGTTCCATTTACTCGGTAAAGAACCTCACCCCATCGTTACAGGGTCATTGGTTTTGAGTCACGTGAAAGCAATTTCCCCAGCGGTGGTGACCCATTTTATTTGATGACCAATAATCGTAATCGATTTATTCGATCCATCTCTCGGTTGGTACTGTAAGGCTGACGTCTGAACGTGAGAGTTCCATTTACTCGGTAAAGAACCTCACCCCATCGTTATAGGGTCATTGGTTTTGAGTCACGTGAAAGCAATTTCCCCAGCGGTGGTGACCCATTTTATTTGATGACCAATAATCGTAATCGATTTATTCGATCCATCTGTCGGTTGGTACTGTAAAGGCTGACGTCAGTATTCTGAGTACAATAAATGTGTCTAGACTACTCTGTAGTGAGATGGAGTGATGCCCGCAACCTGAGGTTCTCATTCCGACGGGGCTTTTGTGGATTTCGTATTCCTATTGGTGTTTTCATATCGATCTACTTTAACGCGGCACGTGATTATTCAATATAAGTTAGGATCTATTCCTGTCAGTGAAACCACTCTTTACTGAACAGCCTAGAAGCACTTTACAGAGGCTTCCTCTTTGGTGGGAATTGTGAGTCGTGAGAATCTCATGACCTTCCGACCAATGGTTGACCATTCAACCTTTCGGCCACGAGCGGCTAATTGCAGTGTGATTGACTCTCATTCAGACGGTATATAGCGCCTCTTATCGTTCAATTACAGAAACCACATCACGTGATCATGTGATGACAAGCCCTTCAAGTGAGAACTTTTCAGAAGGAAGTTTAACTCATCTTGTGAACTTGGCATGCATCTGAGCTACTTATCGATTGACGGCGATCTGAGTAGACTGAGTAATTTTCAATCGAAATTTCATCCCGTCAGTGTATGCCCGAAAACCCTGAAACACTGTAAAGCTGTGTCACCCCGATTGGGAATCATGAACAGTGCTCACCTCACGAAACTCCTGTGGAGAGGTTCGAACTCACAACCTTGGTTGAGGACTTGCTTCTAAAGTTGCTTTGGAAATTAAGTGTCACGATGTTGACGTTTTCTTTCTCGCAACTATTTTTTACCGGATTGTATTCATTGCATTGAGCCCACCATGTTATTCCAAAAACATCGATCAGGGCTTAGACGTAATGTACTACTCACATTGTTGCTGAAAACTCTTCAACAGCCAGCGAGTAGTGCATTACGAATGTAAATGTTGTAACAACTGAAATATGAGGCGGCCTGGTGCAGCACACTCAGCAGTTGCCTGGAAACATCACAAACGAAAACCTAATCTGTTTGCAAATGGGTATATTTCGCTAATCGACCAGATTCTTCCAATGAGTTCCCCGCCGTCCGTGCCATGTGGAGTTTGAACGGAATCGATAACGACGATACTGAATGTTGTAATCTCAAAATAATCTATATAGAAATCGATCGTCACCTATAACGTTTTTACTCGGATTAAACAAATCTGCCAGGGGCAAGTGAACGCTCCTCACACACACACACACACACACACAAACACAAACACACACACACAATCTTCGTTCCCCTGGATTCTTCTCGATCGAACATGCTCCGCCGAATATTCCTGGCCCATAAAACAGCACTTGTTTCCTTCGAATGCTACCGATGACAACGGTGTGTGTGTGTGATGTACACATCCTTTTTCTTGGAATATGAGACAATCAATCAATTAATCGATCAATCACTTTAGAGATCTCTTCTGATCTAAGCTCGTTCAAACCAAAGTCGATAGACGGCGTCTAAGGCGAGTTGACTTTGTCGCTTAGCCCGTGTTATCACGGTCAATGTCGGTTGATCAGAACGTAAGAATATCATTTTTCAAGTGTCCGGATTGAACTGACAACACCACTTGGGCCTAGGATGAGTTTTTTTACATACAAAAGTGGCGACTAAAGGGTGAGAAGATCTGTGTCATATCCAGGGTTGTGCACTTCTTGTCTGCGCTGACGACAAGAGTCAAGCCCATCGTTCCAAAAGACAAAAACTGCCAACTGTGTCAAAATATCTGATGGGTTATTTGGAAAGTTGGAAACCCGAATTTTTTTGCTTGCAATTGAAGTTTTCTCTTGACAGAGGTTTCAAACTACTGGCCTGAAGGTCGCAGGCTCGAGACTCATTATTGGCATTTTGTGAGATAAAACAACTGCTGTTGACTGGAAGAACTTTCTCCGCGAAGTATGCGCCTGGCGGCTTTTGCAGACTCCACCAGCCCAGGTCTACACGTCGAGATCGATGAAACGCTAATATCTTGCCGTGAAAACCACGCGGAACGAGTCCTTCCCCAGCAGTGGATTTCCGGAGAGATCTGTCGGGAAACTAAAGAGGTTTCCGTGTATGCAGTGCCAGATCGAACTGCGGCCACTTTGATGGACACAATCCAGGCCTGCATCGCTCCTGGCTCAATCATCATTTCCGATATGTGAGCATCATACCGAGGAATTGAAACGATGATTGACAAGAATTATGCTCATGAAATGATTATTCATACCGAAAACTTTGTGGATCCAACGACTGGAGCCCACACACGAACCATCGAATCTCCCTGGCACGTGTACAGGATTTAGAATAAACGCCAATGCGGCACACACTGATGTTCAGTGGACAGCTACTTGTGTGAGTTCGTTTGTAGGCAAAGGTACCGAAAAACGGACCTTTTTATGCAACTTATTCCCGATTTCACTCTCTTCAGTGGAGACTAAAATTACGAATTTCATATCCTTTTTTAGGTGGCGGGGGTTAGTTTTTTGCGGGATTTATCTGAGAAAGATCCCAGAATAGTACCAATCGTAGCTCAAAATTGCAGCATTTGTCTGTTCTCCTCTGAGGCCTCAAAGGCACAATGACAACAACATGTGACTTCAGTACGAATGCGTTTGTTTGCCGTCATGGTAGATAGTAGGTTATTTCATCTGACTTCGGGCCATCTTCTGTCGTGACAGCAACACCAAGGTCAAGAACAGCCTAGAAGTACAGACCAATTTACTTTTTTCATCCACAAACCAAAGAGTGAATGAATGGCCGTTGATTTGTTCATCAAGCTGGGCGGTTTGAGTGCTGACATCATCAATGGAGGCGACACCTTCACTCACAACACACTGATGAAGTCACCTGGGCTAGTTGAGAAATGCTCACAACCGAACTGCCCTGCTCAGCAGACAAACCGGCGACCATCACTACGAAGTGAGCTACCAATGAAAAAAAGGCCCTCATTCCGGAGTTATTTATTAGGAAATGCCAACTGACCGGTTACAGACCATTGGACAGGGAAGGAAAACATAAATTTGCATCTTATTTAAAAAGCTGGACATCCATCTTCTCCTGAATGCATCTCCTTGAACTTTCCTGGAGATTCATTCACTCAAATCATTCCTTGCTCAAATCCAAGCAGATGTTACAAAGTGACTCCACGAATTCCACAACAGAATTCCCCTTTTCGAAAGACGCAAAGCGAAATTCCACGAGCAACACATACAACTCGCGTGCCCCCACGCCATCAGTACACCATCAGTTACACCGATATTCTCTGCAGTTTCAGCGGATGGATAATGAAAGAAGTCTTCGCATCGAAGACGGTGATGAAGCACGCGAAGTGGGCTCATGTGCCATAGTATCACAAAAATTTTGATAGCTGTCAATATATTTCCTTTCTAGTTGACTCTACATTGCAACCTGGAAACGTCGCTTGTCACCCAGGTGGGACGTCACTGACAAATTAGCGAATATACACTCATTTGCAAACTAATTTGCTTTTCGTTAGACTCACCTGGAACCCAGCTGACTCTCTCGTTTGTGGTGTTCTCAGGCAACTGAATGTGCTGCACCAGGCCGCCTCATGTTTCGGTCGCTACGATATTTGAAATATCGCGATACATGTATATTTATGATGAGTAGTACCAAATTAGTTTGCAGATGAGTGTATATTCTCTAATTCCGTGCAATTTGTTTTCCAGTAGAAAATAAAGTTGACGGAAACTCGGGGACTGCGCCTACCTGATGAGCCCGAAGTTGAAGGGCGAAACCGGTCGTGGGCTGTCGACGAATTTTCAGCAACCTTATGAGTAGTACGTTACAAAGATAGCTTAGAGTTCGTTATGAGGGAAGGACGTGAACACCCATTGCATGATGTTTTTATAGGACACATGGAAATACCTCATCACTCAGTTTGTGATGGGTTACTCTAGGTCGAAGCTGTTGAACGGGCGTGCACTGGGTCGATTTTCAGACACATTCACTCGGGTATTTCTTGTGAATGGGAATGTTATATCTACTTTGACAGTCAGAGAATCGGTCCAAACTGCACGAAAGTTGATTCATCCACTGAACTAACTACTTCCTAATCGTCTATAAACTACTGAATTACACTGTCGCTCGACCCGATCGTTGTAGAGTCAGCGTCTTGGAGGGTGACTATCCTATTTGAACAGCAACAGTGACAGATCCTAGCCCGAAGGATTGTGGGCTTCTTGATAGGATTGAGAGCTTAAAATAGTCCAATCTCGACTGTCTGAGTTATGAGTCAACGCAATGCCACACTTGAACGATGATCAGCCACGAGCAGATATGTTCGATAATTTGTCTCCAGCATCTAAAATACACAAATGGACATCCATTGCCATTGTGTTTTTCAGGCATGTCGAGCCATGTTTTCAGCTTTCCTGAGAGCTGGAGGGTCAGGCCTAGAAGACACTTGGGAATCAATCAATCAAGACACGGGATGAGAGATCGACCAATAGAGCCACCCGACCGGACAGCCAATGGCGACTGAAGGTCAGCTCCGACTAGTAGCAAGTATATCAACACACAGCAACACTACCCAACGCACAACCACCGACCCGTCGCCACGTTCCACTACGTCTGCCAAAACCGCACTGATAATGTCACCTCGACTGAGAAAGAAACATTCGCAAACTTTCCGGCTCAGGGACCAAAAACTCATTTATTCATACTTTGCTCTAGCTCAGTAGATACCAAAATACCTGAATTCGTTTCAAGGTCCTCATCAGATGTCAAACAAAGAGACGATGTCATCATCAGTCCCAGAAACAGCAAAACAGACGCTAACAGGACAGCGATTTTTCTCTGCAGTCCCTCGGATGATGATGACTTAGTTTTGTTTCCCCTGCAAAGGTGACTCACGCAGTCGCGTAGTTAAGACTAAGCACAATAGTACATTGGCACGGGAACAACTTCACGCGACAGGAACAGATAACCAATAGTTGTGAGCAAGTTAGTGCGACAGGTTCACAATCGTCTTCCTACCTTGTTGAGTTCCACTCATCTCAAACTGTTGTGAACCAACCTGCGTGAGCACGGCCGCTCACGCTAGGCTAGATGGAAGCTTTACATAACGAAAAACAATGAATCTAACAAGTTCGGTCTGATTGTTGATCGATAGACTTGTTGAATTTACGCAGGACGTACGTTATTGCTCGCGAGGATCGAGCAATCACTGCCATCGGGTCACCTAGGGTTAGTAGAAGCAAGTCCAGAACGGATCAACCCACCAGCAGACTGTTTCGACCCTGGGGACTTTGTGCATCACCAAGTTTACAGTTTCCGTTTTTCGTTCACATCATAATGACATTTTTTCTACCACCCTCAATACAAGGATGCAATCGCTCGCACGACAGTGTACAGCTTTGCGCATTGCCGGAAGAGATGCACGTGTTGTCGTTTCAACCACCCATCTAACACATCCAAACTCTTCTGATGTCACAACACGGAGTTATGCGAAAATCTTTTTGTTTCCACTGACCAGTGTGATGACGGAGCAGCGTGTTCGGTTGATAGGGGGAAGTGTTGTACATAAAAAAACAAAGTTTGATTTTTTGAAAAAAGCGTGGGACATCAACAATGTTATATCGTGATGATTTGAAGCAAGGATTAGAATTCTGTGAAAGTCTTCCTGGAACGTGATTACGTTTCACTGTCGACCCGGGTGCCCGACGATCAATTCAACCACCAGGGTTCGATCCTCGCATCCCAGCTTCGATATAGCGGCCCGCCCCAGGAGTGGTAATTTGTAGACACCAACCTTTTTGGAAACAAAGAAGCAAAATCAATTGTTGGGACACATTTTACACTTACAAATGAAGTTTTTTACGCAGTAATCAAGCAAAATAATATTTAAATCCCTCTACACGTATAGAAAACCCATCTATCAACAGCGGCGTTATTTCGGTGATCTGCATTTCTCATGGCAGTATCATCTGAACTTATTTATCCGACTTCTGTGTGTCCTGTCCAATGAATGTGCTGCAAAAAAGACCGCTTCAAGCTTCGATTCGAAAGATGTTCGGGGATCCATTTCTACTAATGAGTAGTTGTGAGTACTCATGGGTAGCGGTGTAACGCCTCGGCTGTTACCTATGCATCCCGCAAACATGTTCGAATTAAACTACACTTTATGAGTCAGCAATAAAGATGGACTAATAGAAAATTGCATTAGCTTCACGGTCGCTAGATGGTTGAACTGTAATGTACGCAAATAATGCTTGAACACACTACTCATATGATTGTCGAAAACTCTTCGAGGGATTTCATTGGATTCAGCTGAGTCTTTCGTCAGAACCCTATTAGTGCACAAATGAGTGTGTTTCGCGAATGCTGGTGTGTCCCTAAACCCATATTTTTTAAACGGAAGTCGCTTGTCACGGCCGTTACAGCATGGCTCGCTCATCATCTGGCCAATCGGCTGGATGTGGTACCCATCATCTGATTGGTCGATTATACCATGCATGCGTTGTGCTATCGTAATTGGTCCATCCATAGTGTCGACCGATCTTATGCGTCACATGTGTCCATAGGTCCATTGGGTGAGAACCTCTACAGATTGCAACACTCAAAACGTGTAACTGGTACTTAGAAAAACCACACTTCGGCCTCACATGAACTGTGCTGACAAGACGGCGTTTTACATATCTAGAGTACAGATGTTTCAGGCCCAAACAGCCCTAACTCCCGTTGATTTTAGGAGGGATTAGTCGCTTGATCTAGTGTTAAGTTTAGTGCCGAATTAATGGTTGTTTGTGGGCTGGGATACTGGCAATGTGCCCACACCTTGAAAGGAGGATAATTAAGTTGGCTCAAAAGCCCAAGCGCAAGGCAGCGGTTTTTGACAGGAAATGCAATTACATTACCTGTTTTATGGGACACGTCGCCACACACGTATTTCAACCCCAACCTGGAGGACCAGGAGACCTCTAACCATTGATCAACCTGGTATGGATGACTCTGTGAGTGTCGCGCAAACACCCCTGCAGTATAGCTCCACGGGTCGCCGAGTTACACACCGTTAAACCACTGTAAGGTTCAGTCCCTGAGTAGTTGTGCAATAGCGAAGCGTCAGTGTTGAACACTGGTGTTGTGATTATTATTAGTAGTAGTAGTACTTAATCATCTTCGGTTCTTAGTTTAGGTTAGTTTGCTTTAGGCGCTTGAAGCTCCTTGACTTCATACCAGAAATGCCCGCCCCTTGTTTTCAACGACGATGAGCCGGCTACAGTGAAGCTGATTGATTTTTGAATTTCATTCGATGTCGCTAGATCGGGGTTCAGTACATGTGGTCAGGGGAAGTCCGCGGGGAGGTTGAATAATGATTCCAAAGTATGCTGCTGTGGACTGGCGGGTGCTACTGTCCGTTCCGTTATTTCTTATCTGACGAGAAGACTTTCCTGTCTTGCACCCCCTGCAAGACATATTAGAGCACGGACACTATAGCCCAATATCTCTGGCTTTGATCAGTGGCTATCGCTGCATGTTGAGGGGTCCCTGCGGTATGTCTGATCGTTCAGCTGTGACTGCCATGCCACACGAAGGAGCCACGAGGGCTGGAATACTGCCAGGTCGCCCAAGCCTAGACAGGGGAAGTCGAGTGGCATATGTCTAGTGGCGACATGTCCAGTATACTTTGAAGCGTGGATTAATTTGACAAGATGACTTTGCCATTTTACTCACAGTCTTTTTGGGTTCCTCGTACCTCCTGCTTCAGTTTTTCACTATCCCAGTTCCGAGGGGTGCCAGACCAAGTGATGTTCGTTCAGTATCTTGTTCAAATGGCAGTCTCTGATAGAAAATTTTACGTGGGCACAATTTACTCGATTAGGCTCAATGTGATTGAAACGGCAGACATCCGTCGAACCTTCAACAATATGCCCAAGCAAGATCTCAACAGGTCGATAAATTTTGGACAAAGATTAGATTTCATGTCCACATTTCATGCGGTCCGATTGTTGCTCAGTCTCAGAGTTATTGTGAGAAGCTATTGAATAGTGACTGATTGCATCAAAACCAACGGGGCGATGCCTAGTTGCCCCGAATCGATACTACCGCTCTTAGAGCTGCTAGATCACTCCTAACCCGTCTCTCTGAGGCAGAAAATATAGTCAAAGCAGTCCGAGTTTATCGATGCATTCTTTCGAAATTCAAATTTGAACTACGCTGAAGTCAATGCTGATATGCAATGTGGTCATATTTTTCGTTTCGGACATGAGATGGAGACAAAACCGGACACAGAGACGACCAACCACGCGACTGTGTGAGTGTCACTGCGCTGCACGATCTTTTGCGTGATACTCTCACTAAACTAGACGGTGTTCACAATTCTAGACAGAGTTCAGTTCTTTAATTATATTTATATTGTTCCTGTATATTTTGTGGCATTATAAATAGCATGAAGGCAAAAAGGCAATAGGATGAATGTGTCCCGTGCTAGCTACGAACCAAACGAACGCGTGCCCTGATTGGTCAAAAGGCCAGCCAATCCATAGCGACGATTTTTAGGTCAACGCTTCTCGCCCCTCACGAAGATTCTAGAGCGAAATTGTGGAACATTCGTTGAGCACCCCATAAATACAGCTGTATCAATCTTCCTTTGTCTTTAATAATGGGCTGTATGAAGCTACTGTGGGCGTAGCAGGAAGCTAAAAACCGTCACAGAGTTGGTGGGGGGGATGGGT